TATATATATATATGATATATTTACTCCTGTAGCTTTTTTCTTTTGGTTTCAATGTCTCTGATTTCCTTCTGTAGCAAAGAAAGATTAAAATCAAGATTCGTCTTCTCACGGTCATCAGTGGGATTAAATTTAATTGTATCCGTTTCCTTTAAATATGTCTTAAATTCATTTTCGATTTTTAGGTACATTTTATGCTGTAACAAATGAAAAACATTTAATATTAAATTTATCGTAATTTACAATTTTTGGATGTGATCGAGTTGCCATTATGATGCATTTAATTAATCGGAAGAAAGAATTTTACTAATTGACCAATCAAAAAAATGTTTCGAAGCATTCATAGCGGCAACTCAATCCTTTGTTCGCTGTGAAGCAGATTATAAAAAAGTAAATAAACAAGTACCATATCTTCTAATTTAATTTTTAGAGACTTTATTTCTGTTCGTAGATATTTCTCGTCACTAGGACTGTACTTGTTCTCACGTTGCGAGTAAAGTTCATATTCGTGGGTCAACAACTCAGTCGCAAGCTTGGATTTCGATTTTGCAAGTTCATTTAACTCTTTCATAAACCTTAATACTTCTTTACATCGTGGATCGTATGTCTTCAAGGCGGTTGGTTTACTGCTACGATCAATCACCGGTTTCGCGCTCACTTCGTTTTGTGGCATTTTACTTGATAATATCTTAGAATGAGTTAATACTGGGCTTTCTGGACTTTCCAATCGGACTGAACTTTTCCCATTTATACTGTCACTCCGAGACGATTGTTTATTGTTAATTGATATTGTTACATGACTAATGAAATTCTTGGATTTGGTATCATTACTGTTTGACCTGGCATGTCTAGATATCGCTGATTTGTTGTCACCATGATCCATCTCCATGTCGATGCTATTGTTAGAGCCGATCATATTATTCAATTTGTTCTCCGTTTCTTGCTCTTCTTCTTTTTTCAAGATTTCATCTTCCGAATCAGAACATGCCCAAGAAGGATATTCAAACGTATCGAGAATCTTCTCATCAAGTGTAACGATCTTAAACTCAGGTACTTCGATGCTGGGATTCGTTGTAAATGCTGGATATCGCTCCCACCATTCCTGGTATCCTCCGTTCAGAATATTAATCTTTTTATGTTTTATACCGGGATCCCATTTCTCGAAAATATCTTTTAATAGATTTATATGAATACATGGTGTCAAAGTTTCTTGTGTAGTATTCCAATCTAGCAAGACTAGAATATCCGTGTGTTGTGCTGATCGATTAACAAATAAGTCATAAGAATGCTTATCATTTGCGAAATATTTTTCAAAGTGAGTACCTAGCAGCCTGAAAGCAAAAATACATCATAAAAAATTAATATAAATAAAATTATATAAGGAAGCAAAAAAATATATAATCTCATATATAAGTAACATAAATATATAATAAATATAAATAAATAATAAAAAATATGCAATCTATAAATAATATAGATTGGATGAAAATGCTTCATTTACCCTTTTTTAATTTCAGATTGTGGAATGTTAATACATCTATCGGACAATATCCTGGAATTTTCATAATGACCCTTCTGCCTAGTATCAATGATCAAATATCTGGCACGTATTTTTTGTATTAGATTATACAATTTATCACATGATATAAAATTGTCATTAATGCTACTTAGACTTATATCTTCAGCTGGTATTTCTGGTAACTTCAAGCCAATGTCATTATTTGGCACCTTGGATTCATCCATTTCTACCTCCATTAGTTCCAGCTTATCATTGCACTTCTTCAAATTAAGTTCATAACGTACTTCTAACTTTTGCTTCAAGTCTGCAAGTATGTTTTTCACTTCATTTATCTAGAATATAAACATTCATGTACTCCATTGTCTATACAAAAAGAAATGTCAGACTGATTATTTTAGAAACGCTACTTCTTACCTGATCAACAGTCATGTTCGTAGCATAGGCCGACTTGCCATCCTTGCTATGAGTTCTCCTCAACCACTCGACCGAATCTAGCCATCTCTTCAAAAAGATATATGCTATCTCATCGTCTCCTTCCTTTTTTGCCAAATCAGAACTTTCTCGCATAGCAGGGAGCCTCTGGTACACGAAGCGTGGCTCCTTACCTGTGTAATTGATCTTAGCCTTTTGCACGAGGTCATTGATGCAGGTATACTTCAAATTTGACATGTTGACAGCTGTCGTGATTCTTCACTTCGATTTTCAACGTAAGATTAGAGGACCATCTGGCATCAGGTGCAACGTACGCAACACACCTCAGTTGTCAGTCAAAGAATAAATGTTAATCGTCTAATTTACTTTGGACCGCGACATAGCAATCCGTAGCGATTCGGATGGAGACAAAATATCGCTCGGCGATGCTCGGCGACGTCGCAGAGTCGCGCGAGATGCTATCGATCACCACTACGTCGTCACGTCATCAGGCGAAACCTTTCGCGATGTCTACCAAACATATAAATTCTAGTCCAATATCCTCCCTGCGCGAATTCGCACTCTGAATTGCTTCAAAAGTACGACGACTTCGAAATAAAAAATCTTTCCACGGCGCTACCCTACGATTCGTCTACAATTTATTGCAGTTCAAAATGCGCTTAGAAATTGTAGATGTCAGCCGCGCCGAGGTTATTTTAAAATCACTAGATGAAAATACTGCAAGATGAAAAAGACTGGCTCATCAATTTCGATTAAACTAATCGGACGATTGTTACATTGGAACTGATCAATCGCATTTGCTATTCAGCAGAATTGACCAATCACAGTTGATACTTAAGCTGCTTACACATGCAGCGCAACTTGTGTAAGCGTAATTTGCGTCAACTAATCAAATCGTATCAACTACTACGCATTATTCTAGTTGAGATTTGATTGGTTGACGCAAGTTAGGGGATCCGCACAATAAAACAGGGAAGAGAACAGAGAATAAAAATTTCAACTTATCAGAAAATCCGTATTCCACAATACATGATTTCTGATAGATTGAAATTCTTATTCTCTGTTCTCTGTTCTTTTTATGCGGAGTCCCTTACGTAAAGAGCCAGGGAGAGAGCAAACTCACGTAACCCGGTCTCCTCTGATTGGATCTGATAATCAAATTGTAGAGCCATTTACGTTATGGCCACAGCACAGACTCTTAAAGCAGAATGTATAAAGGAATCAACTAATCGAAAAAACCATTCTTTTTTTCTATGAAGTAGAAGAAAAGGAAAGATTTTGATTAATTGATTCGCTTACACACGCATTATGCTACCTTCGCAATTATGCGTTATGCAAGAATCTGTGTTGCGGCCATTAAATGATAGCAAAAGCAGTACGCTTGTTACCTTGTGCTGCTTTTCTCCTCAATTTTACAATTGATAAGATCTTTGCAAGTGATACATATTATTAATCTTGGAAATATATACCTTTCTCTATTGTATATATATATATA